GCATCCAGGAGGGGGACCCAGGCATCCGGGAGGAACCCCAGATGTTGAGGAGAACCCCAACCCTCCCACCTTCACCCAGACACCCAGCTGAACCCCCAAACCACCACCCTCCTCCCCTCCCCCTCTGCACCGGTCCCCTCCCAGTCCCCATTCCCAGTACCAGACTGGTCCTCGGTGGTGTCAGCCGCGTGGATCTGGTTGTCAAACCAGAGATGAGCCACGGTCATCCTGTTCTGGGTCAGGGTCCCCGTCTTGTCAGAGCAGATGACCGAGGTGGAGCCCAAGGTCTCCACGGCCTCCAGGTTCTTCACCACACAGTTCTTCCTGGCCAGACGTTTGGCCGTCAGGGAGAGACACACCTGGGGGTTGGGGAGGGGACAGGGAAGTTCTCAGCACCTTGAGGGGCCTTGGAGCTCCTTGAGGAGCCTTGGAGCACCTTGAGGAGCCTTGGAGCTCCTTGAGGAACCTTGGGGCACCTTGAGGAACCTTGGAGCTCCTTGAGGAGCCTTGGAGCTCCTTGAGGAACCTTGGAGCTCCTTGAGGAACCTTGGAGCTCCTTGGAGCACCTTGAGGAGCCTTGGAGCTCCTTGAGGAACCTTGGAGCTCCTTGAGGAACCTTGGAGCTCCTTGAGGAACCTTGGAGCTCCTTGAGGAACCTTGGAGCTCCTTGAGGAACCTTGGAGCTCCTTGAGGAACCTTGGAGCTCCTTGAGGAACCTTGGAGCACCTTGAGGAACCTTGGAGCTCCTTGAGGAACCTTGGAGCACCTTGGAGCACCTTGAGGAGCCTTGGAGCTCCTTGAGGAACCTTGGAGAGGGATCTGAAGGATCTGAAGGATCCCTCTTGGGGTTTCAAGGGGGGTTTTTGGGGATAAGGAGGGTCCGTCTGGTTGGGGTGGAGATGGGAGACGTGGGAAGGTCTTCAGGGACTCATGGGTTGGGATGGACCCATTAAGACCTCAAGGGTCCCAGGGGAACCCAAAGGTCTCATGAAGACCCTTAAGTGTCCATGGGTTGGGATGGACCCATCAACACCTCAAGAGTCCCAGGGGAACCCAACGATCTCCTGAAGACCCTCCAGCTCCACATGGGTTGGGATGGACCCATGAGGACCCCAAGGGTCCCAGGTGAACCCAAGGGTCTCCTGAAGACCCTCAAGTGTCCATGGACCCATGAGGACCTCATGAGTCCCAAGGGAACCCAATGATCTCATGAAGACCCTCAAGAGTCCATGGGTTGGGATGGACCCATGAAGACTCCAAGGGTCCCAGATGAACCCAGCAATCTCCTGAAGACCCTCCAGCTCCACATGGGTTGGGATGGACCCATCAAGACCTCATGAGTCCCAAGGGAACCCCTCAAGTCCCTGGTAGGACCCATGGGTTGGGATGGACCCATCAAGACATCATGAGTCCCAAGGGAACCCAACTGTCTCCATGAAGACACTCAAGCTCCACACGGGTTGGGATGGACCCATTAAGAACTCAAGGGTCCCAGGGGAACCCAAGGGTCTCCTGAAGACCCTCCAGCTCCACATGGGTTGGGATGGACCCATCAAGACCCCAAGAGTCCCAAGTGAACCCAACGATCTCCTGAAGACCCTCCAGCTCCACACGGGTTGGGATGGACCCATGAGGACCCCAAGGGCCCCAGATGAACCCAACGACCTCATGAAGACCCTCCAGCTCCACACGGGTTGGGATGGACCCATGAAGGCCCCATGAGTCCCAGGGGAACCCAAAGGTCTCCTGAAGACCCTCAAGTGTCCATGGACCCATCAACACCTCAAGAGTCCCAAGGGAACCCAACGATCTCATGAAGACCCTCCAGCTCCACACGGGTTGGGATGGACCCACGAGGACCTCGAGGGTCCCAGGGGAACCCAAAGGTCTCAGGAAGACCCTCAAGTGTCCATGGACCCATCAAGACCCCAAGAGTCCCAGGTGAACCCAACTGTCTCCATGAAGACCCTCAAGTGTCCATGGGTTGGGATGGACCCATGAGGACCCCGAGGGTCCCAGGGGAACCCAAAGGTCTCAGGGAGACCCTCAAGTGTCCATGGGTTGGGATGGACCCATCAAGACCCCATGAGTCCCAGGGGAACCCAAAGGTCTCATGAAGACCCTCAAGTCCCTGGTAGGACCCATGGGTTGGGATGGACCCATCAAGACATCATGAGTCCCAAGGGAACCCAACTGTCTCCATGAAGACCCTCAAGCTCCACACGGGTTGGGATGGACCCATTAAGAACTCAAGGGTCCCAGGGGAACCCAAGGGTCTCCTGAAGAACCTCCAGCTCCACATGGGTTGGGATGGACCCATGAAGACCCCATGAGTCCCAGGGGAACCCGAAGATCTCATGAAGACCCTCAAGTGTCCATGGGTTGAGATGGACCCATTAAGGCCTCAAGGGTCCCAGATGAACCCAACGATCTCCCGAAGACCCTCCAGCTCCACATGGGTTGGGATGGACCCATGAGGGCCCCAAGGGCCCCAGATGAACCCAACGACCTCATGAAGACCCTCCAGCTCCACACGGGTTGGGATGGACCCATCAAGACCTCATGAGTCCCAGGGGAACCCAAAGGTCTCAGGAAGACCCTCAAGTGTCCATGGACCCATCAACACCTCAAGAGTCCCAAGGGAACCCAACGATCTCATGAAGACCCTCCAGCTCCACCTTCTCCTTCCACCCCCCCCACAAGCCCAACCCCCTCACCGTGACCGTCGCCAACAGCCCCTCGGGCACGTAAGCCACCACGATGGCCATGAAGAAGACCATGGCCCTCAGGAAAGGGTAACCAATGACCATGGCCACCACGAAGAAGGTGGCCCCGAAGAAGATGGCCAGGCCAGCAATGATGTCCACAAAGTGCTCGATCTCCACGGCGATGGGGGTCTTCTCGTTCCCCACCCCCGAGGCCAGGCTGGCGATGCGCCCGATGATGGTCCTGTCCCCTGTGTTGATCACCAGGCCCTGGGCGGTGCCTGGGAGAGCCAAGGGGGGGTCAAACAGGGTGGGCAGAGGGTCAAAAGGGGGACCCAGGCGTCCGGGAGGAGGTAGGAGTTCAGGGGGGGCTG